TTTGTGAGAATGGAAGGATTGAAAAGCAGTGATATCATCTGTCGTGTGATCAGATGTTCCCGAGTCCATTATCCAAGATTGATTTTTTCTGTTGAGTGCAACAAGAGTAGATAGAAGACCTTGATGTGCTAAAAGGCTCAGAATATTACCCCGGAAGCCTTTCGAGAGCTTCGAGTTGTTCCCTGCTAAATGGACTATGTTCACGAGGCTCGTATTCCTCTGATAATGTGTTTAATTATTTTTCCCTATCACCTATGACTTTATTGGGCTTCCAATATGCATGCTTTCCATAAAATTTCCAAGACTTTTCTTTCAGATAACTGAACTTCTCATAATGTTCACAACACAAGATGTTCCTCATGATTTTTTGTGCTGAAATGATTTGTTTGTGTATAAAGTGGAGCTGTGAACATTTGATGTAGTCAGATTACCTGCAATTCATGAGTTTCTTTATGTTTTCTTCGTACTTCAACAAAAGCTTCACGAATTGAGGGAATGCAATTCATGAGTTTCTTTATGTTTTCTTCGTACTTCAACAAAAACTTCACGAATTGAGGGAAGAGGTTTGGTTCCCATGATTCTTCTACTGACTTCATCTAGATCTTTGTTGAGGCCTAGAAGGAACTTAATAGCACACTTCTATTCAACAATGATTTGTTAAAGATCAAAGTTTTGTGAGTAACTCCATGTGTATGTTTCATATATATCTAGTTGTAGCCAATATTTAGAGAGAGTGTTGAAGTATTGAGTAACATTCAAGTCACCCTGCTATAGGTCATGTAATCTAGTTTCAATGTCAAATGACTCAGAGGTGTTGTCAATACCTAAAAATAGGTTTCCCTTATGACATCCCAAATTCCTTTTACTATTTTGTACAGAAGGAAATTTTCTCCAATTTTCATGGTCATGGAGTTGACAAGCCATGACATGACCATATGTTCTTTAATCTTCCTGTCTGATATTTAAGATCAGTAATTTTTGGTGCATAATTTTCTTCGGTGAGATAATAATCTTTTACTTTACCACAGATGTACATGAATGCAGATTGAGCTCTTTGGAGGAAAATGTTATGTAGTTTGTGATGGTTGATGCAGGAGGAGATTCAAAAGCTGCAAAATCAAACATCCGAGGTTTAGGTTCAGAAGTAACTTTCATGCCGTGTTTGGCCATGATGAGGTGTCGACAGGAAGAGTTCCGTTAAAGAGATTGTCTGTTGGCAGATGAAAGGTTTTCACTAGAGAGAGAAATTGTCTGTCGTCGATACAAGATTTCCACTATGGAGAGAAATTGTCTATCGCTGATACAAAAATTCTCGTTCGAGATGGAGACTGTCTCGCCGACATAGGATTTTCACAGATTTCGGATTTCCACTTGAGAAAATCAATTGTTGAAATTGGGATTTCTGTTGGAGAGCGAGTAAATTGATTCTTAGATATGTGATTTCGAACTGGGATCACGACATTGCCCAATTCAAGATTTCATGTTCGAGACGTTGCAATTATTGCGACCCTACGGTATCACGATTATTCGAATTGCGAAGGAGCTAATCTAATAGATGCCTGTAGGGAGGGGATCTGGCGGAGGGCCCATTGCTTGTGGCTGCAGGCAGAGGCTTCGGTTGAGAAAAATAAAGCTAGGGTTTATTGCTTCACTCTAATACCATGTAAATTTTCGGAGGAACTTACTTGGAGGAAAAACGCTCTTGATATTTTTTCATTAATCAAATAACAAATATATATATTAACCCTTATACAACTAAAGAGAAATTGAATCATAATGATAAAAGTAAAGAAATAAAATACAATAATGGATAATTAAGGGAGAACAGTTTCTCCCTCCCAAATGTAATAGTGAGCCCAGGTTTTCCAAACCTGTGGGTGGGGGCCTATGTGGACCAAATTTATCTGCATGTGAACACAAACAAATTGATTCAAGTTGAGTTGGAGGCTACTAAGCACTAGCTTATTTACCAAATCTAATTCAAGCTCGACTCGAGCTCGAGTCAAGCTTTTGGTTCATGTTCCATTTATTTAAGTTCTTTCTTGTTAAAATTTTGTTAAGCTTGGCTCGAGCTTGGCTAATTTTATGATTGCTGTGTTTTTAATTGAGGAGCCCTTTGATCTTATTGACTCAAGTTTGTTATTCCTAATCATGCTCTTTTAAACGAGAAGCTCATTTAGCCTTATTTGGCCGAGCTTATTGATTTTAAAAAATAAAATTTAAGTTTTCTAAACTATATGTAATTTGTTAAATATTAAAAATTTCTTTTGGAAGTTTTTTGGAGGTTTGTTCGAGTGGAGATTCCATATTGCCTAGAAGATTATGAAGAAATATTACATCAGTACTACGCACGTTATTTTTAAGTGCGTAGCCAATCAAAACAAGTCATGACATCTTGCGCGGCGCAGAAAAAAAAAACGGCGCAGTAACACGGAGAATATTCCCTCCTGTGTTATTCATGTGTTATTGCGCGTTATTCATGTGTTATTGCATGTTATTCATGTGTTATTGATGTGTTATTGTGTTATTATAACACCAAGAATATTCTCAGGATACAATAACACATGAATAACACACAATAACACATGAATAACACGGGGGAGAATATTCCCCGTGTTACTGCGCCGTTTTTTTTTTTGCGTCGTGCGGGGTATCGTGGCGTGATTTCATTGGGTACGCACGTTACTCTACGTGCGTAGTACTGATGTAATATTTTTTCTTATAGGCTCTTGCAATTTGGCTTAATTGTAAAGCTGTTTTGTCCTTCAAATTATACACAGTATTGCTTTAGGCTCCCATCAAATGTGACACCAAATACACTAGGAGATAAGCATTGAGGGAGAGCTTTTTCCTAAACAATATGAATTAAATATATAACGATATTTAGACAATATATAGGTAATAGTAGGGCTGTCAAAAAGCTCGTTGTTTGCGAACAGTTCGTGTTCGGTTCGTCAATGAGTTCATGTTCGATTCGTTCGATAAGTAAACGAGACAAACACGAACAAATTTTTTTTGTTCGGTTAGTAAAACGAACCAAACACGAACAGTGATGCGTTCGTTCGTGTTCGAATCGTTATTGTTTGAAATATAAAATAATTATATATAAAAAATTTATTATATTTTAAAACATTAAATTTTATAAATTATAATATATAATAAAATAATAATAATAATATATTAATATACTATATTAGTAATGTACTAATATAGATATTATATATTTATATAATATAAGTTATATAATTAATATATCGGTTCGTGTTCGGCTCGTTCGTTAAGAAACGAACACGAGCTTATTTCAAACAAATTAAATTTTAAACGAACTGAACACGAACACAAGCTTTGTTCGTTCGTGTTCGGTTTGTTTACACCCCTAGGTAATAGACAATATATAAGAAATATTGAACAGTATGAATTGAATAAATAATATATACTCGATATGATTTAAATAAATAATATATAAAATTTAAATCAAAAGTATGCATATTTTTTAAACTTTTTAATTTATTTGATTATGAATTTAAATATTAATTAAGTTTATATTAAAAATTGAGCTTAATTATTATATTTGGACTTGAAAGATAGTTTGACATATCCAAATTTGAATTAAATATCTAGCATGTAAACGTGTGTATGCGCATGCACACATGTATGTGTGTGCGCGTGTGTGTGCTCGTGTGTGCGTGTGCCCGCACGTGTGTGTGGGTGCATGTATATACCTACCTACCAACGTACATGCATGCATACGTATGTATATAGACACACCACCCGGATACTAGAACTTCATATCGAGTATTATCTTAAGTTTTATTGAGTTTTATATCTATCTTTAATCAAGTTTCTTAACCGGTTTATTGATGAGCTTTAAATAATATTGCTCTTGATCATAAATGAGTATTCAATCTCGTTCATATAATAGCCAAGTTTTAATAAAATTATATTTTTTTTCAAATAATTAATCAAACAATCGCGAATGAGTACTAATCGACCAGAGCTATAATTATCTTTTCGAATGCTCGATTCGTTTATAACCATAGGATTCTACTCATATTTAGTATTCACGCTACCTTTTTCGTGGTCAATTCTCAAATTTGACTCTCATATAATTCATTGGAATTGCCTCCAAGGAAATCGAAACTTGTAGGAAGTAAAATCATTCTCACGCAGCAAGCTGAATGAAAACTCAATGAGATTCCCAATATAAGCTTATAGCCTGATGGCACTTTGGGCATCATACGAACCCTTAGTAAATAATCATGATAGTGGCATTAATTTAATTTCCTGCAACCTTATGAATGTAGTGTTTTTAGTAATACAGAGCAATGTGAAAGTTGTCCATATCTCAATCAACCGTGTATAATTTGCCCCCGATGCTAACTATGATTGTTTGATGCCCAAATCAATGACATAGAAGGAAAATTTTAATTTTCTTAACTCGGAAGTTGTGCAATGTAATCTTTACTCGTTGTTATAAAAAAATGAAAGGAATCTTGACTAGCAATTGTTATTGAATTGTTTCCTATTCCCGTACTGCTCTTATTTTCAAACTCCATTAAAGTTTGTTTGCCATCCATATTTAAGCTGGACAAATTTTACTATGATATTTTCATTGTTATATTGAATCTTTTGCCTCAATATTTTATGGGGCATTTACTTATTTAGCGCTCAATTCTTATGAACTTACGTATCTAACACCTAAATTTTGCTTTTTTACATGTCACATGGAACTTACCACTATTTTAACTTTTAAGAAGTGAAATACAGCTTTTCATGCAATGGTAAGTTGGTATGTAATTAGAAAATTGAAGTTTAGGTGTTATATATGTAATAAATTGGAATCGAGTGGTATGCCTGTACATCGCCCTATTTTTATTAATAACCATTAAATCATCTCGTGATAGATGCCTGGTTACATACAATGGTACTTTCCAACGTTTCTTCAGCTTCAGTATTCCTTGTATACAGTTATTGTCAATTATAACACGATAAAAATGCAGGCTTCGCATTAGAGTTCACGGAAATGGTGGAATTTAAACGCACATTGAGCTGATCCAGATGAATAAACTGGGCTTGTAGGTCTGGACTCTTTGAACCTCTGCTTCTAACATTCATGCTTAATATGCTTTATTGTTCATCTGTAGCTTTATACAAATGTTCCTACATTGTTGGGATAAAATTGATGATGATGATCTCGAGTTTGATTTCTATATTTTGTTATTGATTTTATGATGGCGTTACAGTTATAATGTTTACATGCCTCCAATTCCTATATATTTACATATCTAACACCTAAACTTTACTTTTTTATGTTATATCACCCAAATCATTCATATTATATAAAAAATTTCACAATTTTAACTTTCAAAAAGTGTAATACACCTTTTCATGCATATATATGGTTGTATGCATATAAAAATTAAAGTTTAGATGTTAAATATGTAATTACATAGAAATTGAGTGGTATATAGATGTTCCTTTATTTGTGTGTGATTTTCCCTTCCCATTATGTATTTTTATGAAAATAATTTTGAAATTTGCCTTGTTTTTAAATCTGTTGATATGATTTTTATGAGTTTCGAGTCATTTAGACATTTAATTTCTTACAGTTAGCTACATGCTACTAAATGGGTCTAGCCCATAATGCAAGTACAAGAACAGAATCCAATAGAAGACGTACAACCTTTTTATCACCCTTTACTTTGTTCATTGTACATCGGGGCAGTAGTCTTCTTAAAATCTATTTTGGGTAATTACATGCACAACACTCAAAATATTGCTATTTACAAAATAGCATGTAATTTTGTTAGACTTCCAAGATAATGCATTTATGCGCGCCACGATTAAATCATTAATAGTTTGATAAAAATGAAAAATATGATTGTGGTTTTATCGTGAATTTTGTTATTTGAGCGAGTATTTAAAAAATGATTGAAAGGGTGCTAAATTTGTAAATAGCAATGTTTTGGGTGTTACATATGTGTGCCACTATCAATTATTGAGTTTGGCTTCATGTAAAATTTGATTTGTCAATAGCTTGTGAGCGTATTCAGTTAAAAATATATTAATGTAAAATATATTGTAATTTAAAATTTATTTCTTAATTATTAGAAATATCTAAAAAGTTATAATGTATATTTTAGATCGTGATTTTTTATTATTTATTTTTTAATTATTTATTATACTTGTCATTTTATTAAAACATTAATTTAAATTAATATCTTTTTTATTATATAATAATAAGATGACTTGTGAATCATCTTGAACTATTGCTCTGTCTTCATCGGTGTCTTTTGCATCATTCTTTTAACTTTAAGGGTCTGTTTGGGGAAGTTTTTGCGTTTCAGGATAAGCAGCTTATCTTGAAATGCGGCTCGCGGGTCGACTGCAGGGGTCGACCTGCGGCCCGCGTTTAGTGTAAAAAACTCAAACGCGACAAACAACGTTTTAAAAAATGCCGCCGCACTTATAAGCTACCCCAAACGGGCCCTAAATTTAAAACTATGTTATCGGGCAGCATTGATGTAAAATAAATGTTTAATGGATAGTTAAATGAATTTAGATTTATTTTACTTCGACCCTAAAAAGATTCTGAATATTTTTTTTATTATCTATCAAATATTTTTTTAAATTTTTAGTGTTCAATTATGTTTTATTTGAAACACGTCTATTCTAAACATTTACCTTTAATAGTTGACTATTTTTTTTAATTATTGGTGAAAGAGAGATTCCAAGATGGTGACAGCTTTCAAAACTGCTATTTGGAGTATTGTAATTCTACCATCATTCTTTTTAGATATTGTTAAACCTTATTTTATTTAAATCGAACCTAAGGAATAGAGTGCACGCAGGATAGGCATATCAAGAGATGTGAGAAATCGGTTATTTTTGTATTTAGTTTTAACCGCCTTTGTTATATTTAATGCTTTTTTTATTTATAGAAGGTTAGGTATAGTTTGAAATAATAATTACTGTCCTACTCCTTTTTAATAGATTGATCCCCAATCAATCGGCTCAAAGCCTTGCGGTTGTTGAATGTATGGTGGATTGTCCTCGTCATCCGACACGTTTTTTTTAGTGGTTTTCGAGTCGGTAAATCTTTGATTCGGTCGGCCTCTATATTAGTTTACTTTTGCTCGCCTGTTTGATTGACATCCTTCCACTGGTTCACCCGTTCTCTTGGTTGGTCGCTTGATTAATATGCAACCTTTTGTTTGGCTGCATTCTAGATATCTTTGTTTATCTCATATAACTCTGTCTGGTGACATGCTCCACTGTGAAATCGTTCGATTTGCACAAGTTTTAGTTAAAAAGTATTTTGATTGTACAAATATATATAACCATCTTAGGTAATTTCATATATATA